AAAACTGAGAGATTTTCAATTTATTCTTCTAAAAAAGTAAAGAGGTGACGTGTTAATAGTAATAAGTGCAATATTTTTCATCCAAGAGCTTGCTACATGTTGCGTCAAGAATCGAAATCTGTCCGAGAGACGAGGGGCGAAACCTTCTCTCTGTGACGCAAGGTTTTCAAGCTCACAAACCCTGTGTGAGGACGAAACCTGTTACCCCCGAACGAGGACGATACTCTCGTAGAGCCACACAGGCGGTTTGCGTTGTCGATGATTTCAAAAGAACTTAATACTGTAATATGTGTCTGTATGTTCTTTACAGACCTGCTTGGACAAAAAATATGCAGCTTTCCTTTGTTCTTTGTCCGTATCCTCACTCAAAATGACATCCTTCATGTAATTTACAAAACGCTTTCGCCATAATGTTTTCAAAGTCTGTATTGGAGCATCAGTATTAAAATATGATTTCATGGCTTCTAAATATCCATGATATGACCATTGCGAAGTAGGTGTTTTTTTAAAGTGTTCTGCAATTATTGATGCTAAACAATAACATATAAATTATAAGACTAATTAAATTCACTTTAATAGTGGTTAATTAAATAACCGACATACCAAAATCATTCTTGTCCATGGTTGATTTAAAATTGGTTCTTGATGTCGCGATTTCTGGAATTTATAGAGATCACTAACGTACCCCAAAAATTTTGGGGTTATCACAAGATGTTGTACCAGCATAGAAGGCTTTCATTGTGATTGGTTAATTTTTGTAGATCATCCCGTGATATCGAAATTTTCAAAATAATCTAATTTTTAAGGGTATACCCCCTGCATTTTAAATTATTAAACAATTAACTATTATTATAATTTCAAAATGCAGGGGTATACCCTTAAAAATGAAAATCGATTTCGCAATCGATTCTGCAATTAGGGGTCAATCACACAGGGACACAGAATTTTGAAAACAGCGATAATATTTGCAGAAGTCTTTACCATGGAATCTCGATAATTTAAAATTATAATCTTGTCGCGGACAAAACTCTAACAAACCAAAATTTTATTAAAGAACGAATGAAAGAACCCTAACATACTACGAATCAAAGAAAAAAATGAAACAAAAAATGAAAAATACAAAAAATAAACAGTTAAACCTATTCTAAAACACTAATAATAACTAATACAGTAAAAAAAATAATCAGAAATAACTTTTAGTGCTCGCTCTAATCGTTTTATAATTACAGTTAGGGTTGGCAAGTTTTAGAAATCAAAATTACATGTAATTTTTATCATATAAATAATTTTGTCAAAACTTTTATAAATCTTGCATAAAAACTAGCCAATAGATTATCTTCCAGTACCCATGTGCTATAAAAATAAAACTTTAGTATTTTTTTTAGTACTTATATATTATAAAATCTATTCAAATATTATTGCTATAATAGTGAATAGTATTAAAAATAAATCTGTATAAATTTTTTTTTTTAATTTGGCTACCTGCTCTTATTTTATTTGAGACTAAATTATTCAACAAATTTTTACAAATTTATATCTATAACTATATAGTCTAACCAAGATAAAGGCTTGCCAACACTATGCCAATGCATAAGTGCCAATATAGCCTGTCTCAATAGCACTTGGCCTCTTTTTGGGTTCCCAACTCATTAAGAACTTTTTTCTTATCAGTCAACAGCTAGTGGCTACATGTTTATCAAGAAGCAAAAGAACAAAAAAGAAAACAAATACAAAAACAAAAGAAAACACTGAGGTGTAGGGGAATACAATAGAAAAAATAAATATAAAGAAAAAAAAAAGAGTATGGGAGTAATGAGAAAAAACAAACAAAATTTGCATTCTAATACCACAATTATAAGCCTGTATCGAGCTTGTAAAAATTATATACTACTAAACAAACTAGTCTTTACTTTAAATTTATCTAATTAGTATACCTAAGTAAAATCCTATAAAAAAAACTTTATCAATTTGAATCTGAAATATTTCTTCTCTGTTATATAAGATTAAACAGGAGGTTTTCTTTATGATCAACCAGTTATTATTAGAAGCTATTTTCTCAAGTCTGTCACATAAAGCCTTCATTCCTGACAGATAATATCCAGATTGTAAAGAGGTTGGTAATGTGTCTTGAAGTATTGTTTGTACAAATTATTAGGTATTTGAGACATGTGTATTCACATATTTGTTGTTACAAATCTGATTCATCTGATTTGAGAAATAAACAATATTGACTAATTTGATATATATAATATTGATCTTTTGGAGAGAATAAGCTAAAATGTTCACTTTTTACAAAAATTTCCTTAACAAAAAGTAATAGGCCAATAAATATATATAAGATTCTTCTTGTAAGTTTTATAGTTATATAGTTTGGTTTCTAAGGTTTTTTTAAACTTAGTAAGAGCTTAGCTATTTTTTGTTTTCAGAATAAACCTTCTGGTTTGGATGCTAAATATCTTGAAAAGTTTACTAGAAGAAAACTTGATCTCAAGAAAAATCACCAGAAAACATCCACTTCTTGGTATATCATATTTGACTTAGATTTTGTCAACAATAGTCTACTTATTATAAGACTAAGAATAGTATCTATTTAGTTATTTTTCTATATATTTTGCTGTAGTTTAGTTTTATTGTTGTTGACCAAGAGATCATCAGAAAGAATTGTCGAACTTAATATTTTTGTAAATCTGTATAAATTGATTTTAACTAATTTTAGTTATAATTTATATATTTTAAATTAGAATAAAATAGAATTTTGATTATTTAGATAAGAAATAATTAAATATATTAAAAATTTTATTAATAAAGTTATAATCTATTTGCTAAATAAAAATACTAAACTAGCTACTTATTTTGCTATAGATTAGATTTGTTAATATATATTTCTTTAGATTATTTTATAAAAAATATAGCAAGCCATATACTATATAATAATAAAAATAAAATATAGTATTGTTACTATTAATTAAAAAAACAAAATAAATATTTAGTTTATCTTTAATAGATAACTTATTTAAGATATTTTAAAAGTATAATTTTAATAAATATAACTGTTTATACAATTATAAGTCTTAAATTTAGTTAAAGCTCTTAAATTATTAGTCTAAAAATAATAATAAAAAATTAGAATTTATATAATATACAGTATATATATACTTAAAATTTTTTTTTTTTCCTTTATCGGCAGCCTCGCCGGTATCTTTATTAGATCAAAGCATATATAATTACATATAATCAACTATC